ATATCAAACATTACTGAGACTCTCCGCAAGCAAAACAACTACCCAACGAACTTCATCAACATAATCAATACTGACATTTAGTATGGTCAAATACGCATTCCGAAATTATGAACCTCAACAGTTGTCATTTCGTATAGAGCAGAGACGTCAGACGATATCAGAATAGTACTCAATCAGCTCGATATTAGAGTTTTCTTCAAAACATCAGACACACTACGAAACAACCTTGTCCACATAAAAGACCAAATCCTTAAAGATTCTCTATCTAATTGTGTCTATAAAATAAAGTGCTTGCTTGGAATGTGATGCGATATACATCAAACAAACATCTCGAGAAATGAAAATCAGAAGAAATGAACACCGTAGAGCATCTCTTCGACCACCAAGAAATCCCGTTGAACTACAAAAACTTGAAAAATCATTAGCCAGCCATAGGTCGTTTACACGCTATAGAATCAGGCCACAAAATTGATTTTGACAATATTGAAATCGTCATCCAGAAAAAGCATTTCAGAAATCACAAAGAACGTCTAATATCATCAGAAGCACTTCATATCATATGAAATCCAAATTGTCTGAATAGGAATAATGGACTAAAGCAGAATTTGCCCTGGCTACAACACCTCCCTCCCCCATGAAGTGACAAAATCAACACGAACATGATAAGCAAGTTCACTATGTAAACACACACTGCTTTTATAATTTTACACACTTATCAAATCCAACAGTCATCTACACTTGGTTTTGTTATCTTTACCAATTGACCAACTTGACAACGAGAAATGACCTCATACTGACGAACGATGATCAAGTTAGCAAACTTTGTTTTGATATCAACCAGGGTAGATGTACTATTACTACCTGTGTTATTTGGTTTAGTCATTCATCTTCATTGTTATTTTGACTTTCAATATGTCCTCCTTTTAACTTGACCTAAGTAGTCTATTTTCTCACCTCCAAATTCTTTGTTATACACATATGCTGAGTGGATTTTGTAAATTCTGTTTAAATAATACTGCCTTGATAAACCTATTAGCATTGAATAGCGAAACGTCAGTAAGAGCAACGATAATATCGGTTTGCTCTTTTTCATTCATTCACTGGGAAATACAAGAAAACAACCTTTATTATAATGAATATCATATACCACCCAACGCCCAAAATGTCTTTTCAAACTGTTGAAAGTGAACATGGTTTGGACATATATAAATGTAATACATATATATTTGTTTGTATAAAAAGTTTACAAAGTGTATGTAATGTTATGCTTGGCTTATTGTTAATACATTCTCTTTTTTCTTGTTGTTGTTGTTTTGTGTTCCTAATTCGTTGTATTCCCATCATTTGTTCCAGTTGCTGGAGTCAGCTGTTGTTGTTGGTGATGATTTAAGCTTCGTTTTAGTTCGGCATTTTCAGTTTCCAGCAATTCAAGTTTTTGTTTCAATTCTGCAATCTCTAGTTTCATTGCTTCAACATCCGAAGGATCTGGACCTTCAGCTTGTAAATGTTTCCTCATAAATCTAGACAATAAACAATAATAATAATTTTAAAAAATAATAATAACAAATCTTCTTTTAAAAAATCCAACCAGACACACAGAGCATATTCAGCTCAAATAAAAAGAAAAAGACACAAAGATAATCCCTTTATGATAAATTTGAACAGTATTCTTTAGGAGATGGAGATTATTTGGAAAAGAGCGTAAGTGTATTTTCGCAATATTACTATTATTATTGTTTCCTTTAATTCCTAGAGGAACATAAGGCTTCAGCCGCTCACGTTGCCATTGCGTTCTGTTGTCTGCTAGAGTCTTCACCTGGCTCCAAGTCTGCCCACACGTTTTCATCTCCTCTTCACATGACCTCCTCCAAGTCACCCTCACACTGACGACCGACTCGCCACTTCCCTTTCGGGTTTCACTCGAGCAATGGCTTGTCTAGTGATGTCACTCACTTGATGGTTTCCTCAGAGTATGTCCAATCCATCTCCATTTCTTCCTTCCTGTTTGTTTCACAATCGGTTCCTGGTTGGTTCGCTCTCGGAGATCCCTGTTGCTGATCTTTTCTGGCCGGCCATCTGATCTTGAGTGGTATTGAGCGAAGACAACTAGCTGTTGATGAAGGTCTGTAGTTTGTTTGAAGTGTTCTTCACGACGCGCTGGCCAAGTCTCTGATCCGTAAAGTAGCACTGACTTCACATTGGAGTTGAAAATCCGGATCTTATTTTTCATACTGAGTGCTGTTTGTTGACCTCCACACAGACTTGAGAGTAATGAAAGCTTGTCTTGCTTTCCCGATCCTCTCTGCTTTGATATCCTCGTCAGTTCCGTCAACGTGTAGTTTAAACGATGCTTCCCAGGTAGGTAAAAGAGGTTGTTTCTTTCAGGTTCCTCCCATTTATGCTGATTGTTGTCTGTTGTCGTTGTTCTTGTCCAGGAATCTTCATTACCTCTGTTTTCTCTATGTTCACCTGAAGACCTATCTTCTCTGGATGATTCTTCTCCCAACTTGTTGCTTTTCACTTGCATATATCTTCCAGCAGTTTGTGGGAAATCAGACATATATCATCGGCGAAGTCCAGATCCTCCAAGTCTCTTTTTGTGTGAGTCCATTTTATGCCTGTTTCCTCGCTGCCTGGGCGGCTGTCTGTCGCATTATACAATCTACTTAATATTTACACAGGTGAATCATTAATATTCATTATTTATTTCACACACTAGCATAATCATTGATTTCCCGCATCTGCGTGATTATTGATTTTAATTACTGAATTCCCATGGTTTGTTAATATTTTTAAAATGTGACATTGATTTTCCTAACTGTATAAATACGGAGTTTGTGTTTAACATTTCGACTGCTGTTAGAGGGAGTAAAAGCTCTCGTATCACCGTCCAGTCTTCTTTCTTTGCCTTGCGTGCCCGGCGGTATTGTTGTTGTTGTTGACGTGCGATTAGGACGGATTAGCCAGCGCATTAGTTAGATTCGCTCGTAGTCTACAAGGTCCTCATATTCATACATAACACTACTACTCTATTGTGCATTTCTCCTACCTTCTTCTCTTGCTTTGTGTGCTACATGGCGTGTGGCGACTTGAACTGGTGCACATCGGTGCAAAGTTCTATGTCGAAAACAAACACACAGACAGACCTACGTAGATTACTTTTTAGAATTTTAACCCTCTCCCACAGTGCTATTTTGTGGTTGCGTGTTAATGCATGCAGTGCAATGTAGTGCTGACCCTTTTTTCTAAATTACTCATCTCGGGTTGGGTCAGCCATTCTTAAATTAGCTAAATACTTATGTTCCGACAATGTGATTACTCCCGATCTACTAGTTTGACTGACCTATGTAGTTGACCTAACTCACAGTCATTGCAGGGTATTTTGTAAATTATATTACTTTGTCTAATTGGATCAACCGACAGGGTCCCTTAACTTACACAGCTCGTCCTACCTGAGTGAGTTTGTAGGTTTAAATGCCACCGCCAGCCTGACTCCTGCTTTATTAAGAATCCTACGTAGGGAGTATCTCAGATGTCCCCTCCTTATATGCTATAACTGCTGTAGATGACTTATATATTCACTCTTATTTATCTTATCATTACTAGTTTCAGAATTATTTTTATTTTGCTTTTGGCCTTTACTGATCATCCTAATGAATTTTATAGGATAGTTAGTTAGTTATTTGACACCAACGCCTCTTCTGTCTGTTTTATTTCATCATTTAGGTCTTTTCTTGTACTACTTAGTGCTACTGCTCGGTTTGTTAGGCACTTAACTTAACTAAGCCTGCCTTCACAGACAGATAACGGACGGATGAGATGAATTGACGTCTAAATACCTATTAGCAGAATGCGTTGGTTTTTTTTATAAACGCCGCTAGTGTGTAGTTTACCTTCTTCTATTCGTTTTATTTTACAATCTAACATCATAACAGCTAATTCTCCTTGTTCATTTTCCGATTCAAATATGAATTTTATTCCCTCTACTAGTGAGTTTATGGTTGTGTGTGTGTGTGTGTGTGTGTCATGAAGCTTGCAAGTAGTAAGCAGTTATCTTTCCAGTTAATGCATTTTGTAGTCAGTGATCATTTTTTTAATGATCAATTTCGATTCATATAAGTAGAAGTGAACACATGAAATATCAACAGACGACTTTAAGCAAAGCACATCTAGATGTATAGAGTGTGCGGTGTATGTATGCTCAGAAGCTAGCTGACTCGTACACCGAAGGTTTGTCTGTAAAGACAGATCTTTATTTTCTACAGTTTGGTTTGTAAGGGTTAGTTTTGTTTTTTGCGAGTTGATCACGGATTGATATCAGTGAGTTAGAGAAGCATTGAAAACCAGCCACAGGGAGTACTGGACAGCCAGCTGTTTCATCAGTCTTGTTTGGGAATCATCGGCAGTACTCACCCACCACTGCACCAGGGTTCGAACCCAGGACCTTTCGGTTACAAGGCAAGTTCCTTAGCTTTTAGATAAGTCAGTACAATTCGAATATATATATATATATATATATATATATATATATATATAGGATCTCGATGCATCTACAAACCAAGTGAAATCTTTTTGAGGTGTCCTCTCCAACTTTTGTATATTGTCAAGCATCATGCTATCCACTCCAAAGATCACCTCGCTATCACTAAACTTTCTGTTGGCAGTGGCTTCCATGAACCAGAACAGCTTCCAACTATCCTGTGTTCTACTCAGCAGTAGCTAATAGCAGTGATAGTTGCTTGAGTTCAGGCTTAAGCGATGGAGGAAAGACACACCAGGGTAGCACTGCGAGTATGTCTATACAAGAATTTGGTGGAGGTTTGAAATTAGACATGATTTCCGCAGAGTTATTGAAAACAGTTATAACGTTTATCAACTGATTATGTACGTGGAGCTGCTTTTCCATATTATTGTTTAACTCTTGTTAAGCCACAAAATCTGTTTTCGCCTTGTGATTTACGGGGAAACTTTGCTGTATATTACCTGTGATATCTGTTATCATGTCCCATAGTAATGATTCAACGGTATGAATGCTGTTAACAGGTTATGATGGCACCAAGTTGTGTGTATGTAGTGGGCTTATATGATGTTGCGATGTACCAACTTGGGATCTTTATAAACGAATGTCTCTTAAGTAACAACAAATTCATTGTGAAAAGCCGGCATCCTTGTATTTGTCTCATTACACGCTAGAAAGGGTGAAGTTCGCGTTTTAAAAACTAATCGTTACAGCAATTTAATTACCCCTCTAGATTTTGTAAATATCGACGGTAGGGAAGATTCTGCTTTCAATTTTTAGGGTTAAAGTCTAGAAGCTTGTGTGAATCGTTTTATGCCAGATAGCTGTCCAGATGAAAACTCAGCAAGTCTGGGTCCAGGTTACAACGATCGACGGATCAGTGGCATAATTTGTTCTTAGCTTTTGTACTTATTTTCATGCTTTCTTAGTCGTTTTGACGTAGAAAAAGGCTAAAAAAAGATAGGATCCTAAGTTATTCCTTCAAATTGTATACATGATAAAACTTCATTGACCTCTCTGTGGTATTACAAAAGTAGGAAACCGAGATTTGCAGGTCATTCCTCATAAGGGAAACCCGGTACATTCAGTAGTCCTTTGAACCTTTTTTAATAGGTAATTTTGTAGAATATGACTGGCTGTTTACATTGAGTTTTCTGTTTGTTAACTTAACAATTAGTGCGTATAAATTATAGAGTGAATATGCCAATAGTATATCAAGGTGTTGTGAAGCCCCATACTGTGATAAAACAGTGGTGCGTCGGTGGCACAGTGGTTAGGACTCTCGCCGACCATGCACATGGTCCGAGGTTCGATCCCCTACTGACGCACACCTGCTATCTATGTTCGGCCTGCTAAATTTGGGCTACCGATACCACATGCTGAAAATTTCATACTCGTACCAAAATACTGTGTGGAATCAAGCTATAATAAAATGAAATGAAAATGATATATATATATATATACATATACAGTATCCGTATTACCGAAAGTCTTGATATCATTTCCAGTCTACTGGGATCAGATACAACGCTATCACAAAGATGTCTACTGGACACCAGTGAAATAATTAAGAGGAGCTTGAAATTCTGTCTGGAAAGTAATTATTTTACATTTAAATGTCAGGGGTTTATATAGACAGACAAATGGTGTTGCTATGCGTTAACCAGTCTCCCCGATAGTCGCTGACCTTTTTATGAATAGCTTCGAAAATAACATCTTTTCAAGCATACTCACTCCTAAAATATGGTTCAGATATAAGTGGATGATACATTTGTAGTGCTAAAACGAGATCTACACAGTTCGTTCCTGGAGAAAATAAACTGTGTATCTCCCAGAATCCAGTTTAATTCGGAAGTAGAATCAGACGTCGGTGAGCTACCATTTCTAGACTGCCTAGTTAAGAGAAGGGAAAACGGACATTTTAGTATATCCATATTCAGGAAGAAAACCCAACACTCCAACAACAAATATTTAGAATTCGGATCATCACACCACGACATCAGCGCAAAGGTATCAGTTGTTTCAAGTCTTCTTAGACGAGCACACTCTCTGATGTTAACGGATGAGAAAGAAAAAGTGGGAGAAGAAATATCAAACATTACTGAGACTCTCCTCAAGCAGAACAACTACCCAACGAACTTCAACAAAATCAACACTGACACTAAGTATGGTCGAAAGCGCATTCCGAAAACATTGACCTCAACAGTTGTCATTCCATATAGAGCAGAGACGTCAGACGATATCAGAAAAGAACTCAATCAGCTCGACATTAGAGTTTTCTTCAAAACATCAGACACACTACGAAACAACCTTGTCCACATAAAAGACCAAATCCTTAAAGATTCTCTATCTAATTGTGTCTATAAAATAAAGTGCTTGCTTGGAATGTGATGCGATATACATCAAACAAACATCTCGAGAAATGAAAATCAGAAGAAATGAACACCGTAGAGCATCTTTTCGACCAGCGAGACATAAATCCGGTTGAACTATTTACTGGCCATCTTCAGGCAGTTAACCTGGGGTTCTAGTGTGAAGCCGTCACCAGCAGGGTACAGCAGGTTGAAGATGAGGCAGTAGCTCATCGAAGAAGACATTACGAAATGGTCGCGCTATGTTGTGCGTGAATTGGCAGAATTTAGAATTGAAGGACCATTGGATCGGGTCCCAGTGGCTCAATGGGCTACGAGCTCGCCTTGTAACCGGAAGGTCCTGGGTTCGAACCCCGTGGTGGTAGGTGCGTATTGCTGAAGAGTGCGAAACTAGGACGGGAGAAACAGCTGTCCAGTACTCCCAGGTGGGTTTTCCAGTGGTTCTCCAACTGATGTCAGCTCATGATGAAATCCTCCACGCAATCAAACAAAATCCCTACAAAACCAATATTTGAACTACAAAAACTTGAAAAATCATTAGCCAGCCATAGGTCGTTTACACGCTATAGAATCAGGCCACAAAATTGATTTTGACAATATTGAAATCGTCATCCAGAAAAAGCATTTCAGAAATCACAAAGAACGTCTAATATCATCAGAAGCACTTCATATCATATGAAATCCAAATTGTCTGAATAGGAATAATGGACTAAAGCAGAATTTGCCCTGGCTACAACACCTCCCTCCCCCATGAAGTGACAAAATCAACACGAACATGATAAGCAAGTTCACTATGTAAACACACACTGCTTTTATAATTTTACACACTTATCAAATCCAACAGTCATCTACACTTGGTTTTGTTATCTTTACCAATTGACCAACTTGACAACGAGAAATGACCTCATACTGACGAACGATGATCAAGTTAGCAAACTTTGTTTTGATATCAACCAGGGTAGATGTACTATTACTACCTGTGTTATTTGGTTTAGTCATTCATCTTCATTGTTATTTTGACTTTCAATATGTCCTCCTTTTAACTTGACCTAAGTAGTCTATTTTCTCACCTCCAAATTCTTTGTTATACACATATGCTGAGTGGATTTTGTAAATTCTGTTTAAATAATACTGCCTTGATAAACCTATTAGCATTGAATAGCGAAACGTCAGTAAGAGCAACGATAATATCGGTTTGCTCTTTTTCATTCATTCACTGGGAAATACAAGAAAACAACCTTTATTATAATGAATATCATATACCACCCAACGCCCAAAATGTCTTTTCAAACTGTTGAAAGTGAACATGGTTTGGACATATATAAATGTAATACATATATATTTGTTTGTATAAAAAGTTTACAAAGTGTATGTAATGTTATGCTTGGCTTATTGTTAATACATTCTCTTTTTTCTTGTTGTTGTTGTTTTGTGTTCCTAATTCGTTGTATTCCCATCATTTGTTCCAGTTGCTGGAGTCAGCTGTTGTTGTTGGTGATGATTTAAGCTTCGTTTTAGTTCGGCATTTTCAGTTTCCAGCAATTCAAGTTTTTGTTTCAATTCTGCAATCTCTAGTTTCATTGCTTCAACATCCGAAGGATCTGGACCTTCAGCTTGTAAATGTTTCTTCATAAATCTAGACAATAATCAATAATAATAAATCTTTTTTAAAAATTAAAATAAAATAGAGCATATTCAGCTCAAATAAAAAGAAAAAGACACAAAGATAATCCCTTTATGATAAATTTGAACAGTATTCTTTAGGAGATGGAGATTATTTGGAAAAGAGCGTAAGTGTATTTTCGCAATATTACTATTATTATTGTTTCCTTTAATTCCTAGAGGAACATAAGGCTTCAGCCGCTCACGTTGCCATTGCGTTCTGTTGTCTGCTAGAGTCTTCACCTGGCTCCAAGTCTGCCCACACGTTTTCATCTCCTCTTCACATGACCTCCTCCAAGTCACCCTCACACTGACGACCGACTCGCCACTTCCCTTTCGGGTTTCACTCGAGCAATGGCTTGTCTAGTGATGTCACTCACTTGATGGTTTCCTCAGAGTATGTCCAATCCATCTCCATTTCTTCCTTCCTGTTTGTTTCACAATCGGTTCCTGGTTGGTTCGCTCTCGGAGATCCCTGTTGCTGATCTTTTCTGGCCGGCCATCTGATCTTGAGTGGTATTGAGCGAAGACAACTAGCTGTTGATGAAGGTCTGTAGTTTGTTTGAAGTGTTCTTCACGACGCGCTGGCCAAGTCTCTGATCCGTAAAGTAGCACTGACTTCACATTGGAGTTGAAAATCCGGATCTTATTTTTCATACTGAGTGCTGTTTGTTGACCTCCACACAGACTTGAGAGTAATGAAAGCTTGTCTTGCTTTCCCGATCCTCTCTGCTTTGATATCCTCGTCAGTTCCGTCAACGTGTAGTTTAAACGATGCTTCCCAGGTAGGTAAAAGAGGTTGTTTCTTTCAGGTTCCTCCCATTTATGCTGATTGTTGTCTGTTGTCGTTGTTCTTGTCCAGGAATCTTCATTACCTCTGTTTTCTCTATGTTCACCTGAAGACCTATCTTCTCTGGATGCTTCTTCTCCCAACTTGTTGCTTTTCACTTGCATATATCTTCCAGCAGTTTGTGGGAAATCAGACATATATCATCGGCGAAGTCCAGATCCTCCAAGTCTCTTTTTGTGTGAGTCCATTTTATGCCTGTTTCCTCGCTGCCTGGGCGGCTGTCTGTCGCATTATCCAATCTACTGCAATCAGGAAAATCATTGGCGATAGGAGGGAGCCAGCCTTGTCTTACTCCTGTCTTCACTTCGAAGGATTCCGTAAGTTTCCCGTTGTGGATTACTTGGCATGCAGCATTGTCGTACAGATGTTGAATGAGATGTATAATTGTCGGCGGGACCCCTTGGTAGAAGCGAAGTAGTTTCCAAATCACCTCTCGATCGACACTGCGCTATCGAAGGCCTTTTCAAAGTCGATGAAGTTGAGATAGAGAGGTGACTGCCATTACAAGCTCTGTTCAATCATGATCTGTAATGTGGCGATCTGATCTATACATGGCTTGTTTCTCCTGAATCCAGCCTGTTCCGCAATATTGATATGAGCATAAGACGTGGGCACTGTGGT